GCCATCTCCACAGATGCATGAGCACTGTTTTCTTAATGCATTTGAGGTTGGACTGTGTATGATTTCACAGTGGGCCAATGAGAAGGCTTCATGCATTTAGCTTTGGGAAGCAAAAACATCCAGATTTTCATGGTTGCCCAGGCTTTCAAAGAGACATAGATACCTCTCTATTTTTGGTTGAGAAAGGGAAGTATCAGTTGAAGCCTATTGTGCAGACTTCCTGTTTTTCAAGGCCTATGCTAATAGAAAATGTCACATAGAGATAAACTACAGCACATTGAGGATGCAGTATCAGGTCATGGATATCTTCATTAAACAAAAGCACCTGTCACCAATATAGATTTGCAAGAAGAAAAGTGTAGTAGAGCCATGGATAATAATTATTATGGCAAGGATGGCATGTTCTTCCCACCCTTCCATATACTGTTTCATAGCATGATAGTAAACAAGTGTATTAACCACCTTCAATATGTATTACTATGTTGAGACAGTAAGTTTACCCCTGCCTGAAAGGTCATGAAAGGCCAGGGAAGGTAGAAAAAAGCCCTGTGAGATGTGACAGATCTCTTTCAATAAGCTATGACACCAAGTGATCATTTAAAAGGATTTGTACATCATCAAGATGCCATGGCTTTCCCCATGAGGACTTGATTTTATGACCAAGGAGTGTGCCACACATCAGCAGATGAGACATACAGTGTTTGGGGAATTTTGAAGACTCTGATGGAAGAAAATGATCACTCTGAATTCCAGCCATCTCCAGTCTTCCATGAGGCTCCTCCAATAAAGCATCCTGTGGATGTTACTGGCAAACTCCAGCACATTAGGGTTGGAACCACAGCTTGACCACTGAGTCTTACTATAGGCTTGGCCACTCAACTTAGCCAACTTGGTTAGCTTTCTGCCTTGTCAGGTAGGAAAATAGTACCCTCATGTCGTGAAGACCAACTGCTTAGGAAGAAACTTATTTAAGAGCATAGCCTGGTAAGCACTCAGTTCATTCTAGTCTTGTTTTTATACACATATGCACCTTTTCCCACTATCTGGAAAATCTTAGCTTTTAGTGCTATAGTTCAAAGGAGAGATCAAATATTTTAGTGCCTATATCAATTTCCCAACTCTATTTCATTCTTAAAATCTCAAAAAACAAACCATGAGATGCTTGATCTGCAAGATCTGCCTCCTAGGCCTGCCTTTTGCAAAGCTTCCTCAGCATTGTGAGCCCAGACTCCCTTGTCTTGATAATCTTGGGTTGGAATCTGGACAACTTTGTGAGGGTGTCACTGTAAGTACCTGTAAGCCAGAATATTTTAGGGACTTGATTTGGCTCCATTTTCCCCTCAGAAACTTTCTTACTCTCAAGGCAGTACTATTCAGCCACATGCACCTGCTTCACACAGGACCCCTTCCCATGCACCAAAGGATGGGTCATCTTCTCGTGTTGGTTGATTCCTAGGGTTATCTTCCAATGGAAATATTCTCCTTGAAAGATCCAGCTATGCTTCCACTTCCTTCATCTCTTTGTTTGTTTCCTTCTCAATCTGCTTTCACAAAGCACAGAGGGCCTTAAGAGATGTGGAGATGTTTGAGGCAGTGTCTCAACACAGTAGCCTGGGCTGGCCCAGAACTTACTGTGTAGTCCAGGATGGCCTCAAGCTTGCCAGCAATGTCCTTGCCTCAACTTTCCTCTTCTGAGTGCTGCAGTTACTGGTGTCAGCACCACACCTGACTCATTGTGGAGCTTATTACAACTCATTTCCATGCTTATGTCTCACTGAGCTGGAGCACCTGAGATGACCAGGCAATTCCCAGAACAGAGCTCTTGCCAGTAACTGTTCAGGTAGATTTAAAGGCACCTTCTGTATCCAGAGACAGAAGGTCCTCAACTACTCTGTCTATGCATAACCTCCTGGATGCAAGAAGATGACATTCACTC